AGGTATTCTTCAAAACCTTTCAAAGACCTACAGAATATGGCATTTAAAATGGTATATTAGGGGTTTTCATGACAATGAGACACAACTGTTCCTGGTAACACCAATTATGTCAGAAAGGAAGATGGGCATCAAAGAAACGCATTATGGAGTTTGTCTTCAATGTGGCAAAACTGGCCTGTTGGGCAAAGAACTACCCTTGCCTCAATTGCTGACAGTAAGCACACTGTCCAAACTAGACAGGCAGGTTACAAAGGAAAGTGACTGCCAAGAGATAGAATGATCCTTTAGGGTTCCTGCTTTACAGAAGAAAGCAACTGATGAACTTTTCAAATACAAAGCAAAACAGACCTTCAAATTCCCTACTTTATTAAAAAGTCTGCAAGACACTATGGCCTATGGGCTGAAGATGGATGCCCCAATGTTACAGAAGAACTTTGTGTGATTGACCAGTCAGCAAGATGTCTCTGTTAATTCTAGAGTTTATATATTATCCTTCTGGCATCTTTGATATAGTTGAAGATAGACAATTATGGTTATGGTTTTCCTTGGTTAAGATAAAAGACAAGTTATACTTTTAAAAACTTTAGACTCACAAAGATAGGATAGGTGATAGAATATTTTCTTTAAATTTTGCCAAATGTTAATGAACTAAATATTGTAATTATATTCTTGCTTTATAACTGTTTTGCTATATATAATTTTACTATGTTGAAGTTAAAACCTTCCTTTTTATTTAGACAGAAAATAGGAGATGATGGGGGAATTCTGTCCTTCTGTATGTTATGAATATAAGTTTCTCCTATTGGTTGATGAATAAAGATGTTTCAGCCAATGGACAGGCAGAATTTAGCCAGGTGGGAAATCCAAACAGGGAGAGAGAAAGGTAGGAGGTGGAGTCAGGGAGATGCCTTGTAGCTGCCAAGGAAGCAAGAGACCCTGGCATCACCGGTAAGTCAAAACCAAGAGGAGCTATATAGATTAATAGAAATGTGTTAATAAGTAAGGGAGAGCTAGCCAATAAGAAGCCTGAGGCATTGGCCAAACAGTTTATAATTAATATAAGCCTCTGTGTGTTTACTTGGGACTAAACGGCCACAGGACCAGACAGGACAGAAACTTCTATCCACAGGACTCTTTCTCAGAGCCCACATGTTGCTGTAACATTTCCCTGTCAGGAGGCATCCCTAAAGTCATTTAGGAACTAGACCATGGATCAGAGCTCCAAGCACTTCTGCAATTTCTGGCCTCCAGTCAGGAAAGGACCAAGTATTTTTCAGTCTTAGACAAAGATACTGGCTAAGGCCCTATCCCTAAACTGCCTTGTCTTTTTTCTATCTCCTGTCCTCTTCACCCCCACTAACATTCTCTATATGGTAATTTAGAGACTCGGGCAATGACTGAATGTGGATTCTTACTGCTGGTGGGGCCATTGGGTGTGGTAGTTGGGGCACCCTTCCAGTGGGCTTATCTAGGGGACATGGAAGTTACATCAGTGGTTACATTTCTGTGACAGGCAGGCATAGGGACGAAAAGAACACCTCGATTGGTGCCTGGTTAGAGATGTGGGAGAGGAATGAAGGTAAGAATGGATCCCTAGAAGGAGAAGAAATATTTCATGCATCTAGGAACAGGAATGAGTTAACAAAGCCTTAGGTAGAAACCCAGGAGCCAGAGCACAGGACATTTTTTAAATGTCAAGCTCATTAGAATGTCTAGATGGTCCCACAACAGCAGCTGTCCACTCCTTTGGCCAAGGCCGTACTCAAAGAGTGAAGGGTTCAAGATCTGCTTTCAGACAATTTGATAGATAGCTGTTGCAGTGACTAGAGTCATGCTGTGATGTATCTCTCAGGTGGTTTCTGGAGCTGGAGAGAAAGAAATTTAGCCAACATTTAATACTGAGGTTAAAACAACACTGGGCCTTTTTCTTCAGACTGCAGGTAGCTTCTATGGTATTGAATTGAATCAAGGTTGTGACATCCTATATGCACACTTTTTTTTTTTTTTTTTTGGTTTTTCAAGATAGGGTTTCTCTGTGTAGCTTTGGAGCCTATCCTGGCACTTGCTCTGGAGACCAGGCTGGCCTCAAACTCACAGAGATCCACCTGCCTCTGCCTCCCGAGTGCTGGGATTAAAGGCATGCACCACCAACACCCAGCGCACACTTTTTTTTTTTTTTAAATCAAAACAAAAATGATTGGTGAGAAATAATTGTCTAAATAACATCGCATATGAATTTAATCCTAATGTCTGGGAGTGTGGTCCCTTGAACTATTAAAAAATAGTCTCTGCTGAGCATAGTGGCACACGCCTTTGATCCTAGCACTCAGAAGACAGACAGGTGAGTCTCTGTGAGTTCAAGGCCAGTGTGGTCTACATAATGAGTTCCAGAACAACCTGAGCTACGTAGAGAAACCTTGTCTTAAAAAAAAAAAAGAAAAAGAAAAAAAGGCTCAGGTTATACTTTCCTGTTGGATGTTTAAAACCATGTAGCTAGCCGAAATTACATGCCCTCCCTCCCCACAACAAACACCTCTGCCAAGGCCAGTTGAGGATTTGTTCTATGGGCATGAACTCTCAGTTACTGGTCCAGCACCAAGCCTGTCTGCCTGCTGTCATTCTACCCATCGTGATGGTCATGGATTCTTACCCTCTGAAACTGAAAGCCCTAGATCATCGATTCACAACCTGTGGGTCATAACACAAGCAGGAAAGAGACATCCTCCAGAAGCAGACCCAAGAGGGGCTGGGAGTGGCTCCGGGAGAAGAGCAGCAAACACTGGCTTGAAGGTGCATCTTTAGTGTCTTTGTCACTGGTTACTTTGTTAGCCTTTAGCTGATTGGATAAAGTGAGTCACACAAGACACTGTGATATTCTGTAAAGGAATCAACCTCGGCCCTGCATCTACCCCAGAACCAGCTCACTTCTCTGGCCTTGGTGCTCCTGAATAGCCCTGGACTTGCTAACTGCCGAGGAGGGACACCTGGCTTTCCTTCAGTGAAGTGTATTGCTAGTATGTGAGCCAGTTCAGCCAAGTGGAAGAGAGGATTAAAAACTTGCATGAACTGGCTCACAAACTGTGGCCTGCAGGGACTGACTGCACTTCCAAATTCCTACTACAGTCCTCTCTGGGCCTGCTTCTACCCCTCCTAGGCCCACTGGTCCCTTTGGTTCTCATAATGGTTGCTACTGATCCAGAGTTTGTTCTCTGTGTTTATTAGCATTCAAAAAATTCAAAATTAACTAAGTACCATATAAGTCCAAACTCCCTGTGTTATATTTTCCATCCTTTTGTGGCTTATTCTTTTAATTACATTACTCTCTTTTTAAAGACTTTATTATTTTTAAATTATTTATTTTTTTCTATGACTGTCTATCTCCATTTTTCTTTTCTTTTCTTTCTTTAGCATTTAAGCACTTTTTATGTTTGTTTGTTTTTTGATACAGGGTTTCTCGATAGCTTTGGTGGTCCTGGAAATTGCTCTATAGACCAGGCTGGCCTCAAACTCATAGAGATCCACCTGCCTCTGCCTCCTGAAGTGCTGGGATTAAAGGCATGCACTGCCACCTCCTGGCTTATATAAACACATTTCAGAGGTGTTCTTGGGCCTGGCTTTTGTGTGTCTGTAGCTTTCTCTGACCATGTAGGCCAAACCTTGAAAGATTAGGCTACCACCACATGGCTCTGGCAGCTGTCTTTGCCCCCCCTACCCGCTCCAGTTGGTGAGAGCCTTATGCCTGTGGCTGGGCCTGGATCTGTTTACTTCCCCGGCTCTGGGAAGATGCTGAGTCCTAGATGCGGCAGGCATTTGTACCCAGTGCATGCTGCTTAAGTGCTCAGCTACACAGGAGGGCCGCTTAAAGGAGCTGCAGCTGATCCTACCTAGTAACCCAAGAGACCGCTTTCTGGAGTCCTATGAGACTATTCAAGCCCCACGTAAGGTGCCAGATGAAGCTTATCTAATTATTCGTTAACAATAAAATCTCAGAAGTCAGATATCAAGGTAATAACTTGATTGATCAGAGAAGCATTGGGGAAGTGACCAGTGACCTCCTCTCTCCATCCAAAAAGGCAGGGAATCTTTCTAAGTTCCACATTAGGCATCATATGTAGCTGATTTTTCATTGGGCCAGCAGCTCACAAATAGAGGTGGGCAGTGGTGGCTCACACCTTCCATCCCTTCCTGCACTTGGGAGGCAGAAACAGGCAGATCTCTGTGAGTTTGAGGCCAGGCTGGTCTACAAAGTGAGTTCCAGGACAGCCAGGGCTGCCACACAGAGAAACCCTGTCTTGAAACAAACAAACAAACAAATGACATGGAGACTTATTAATTAGGCTTTTCCCCAACGAGTTCTTATAACTTCAATTAACCTGATTCTATTAATCTACATTTTACCATGTGGTTTTTTACCTTTCTTTCATCTACATGTCTGACTCCTTCCATGTATCTTTGGCTTCTCTCTCACATAATTCACAAGCCTCGATTCTTCCTCCTCTTCTTCTCTTCCAAAATCCTACATATCCTTCCTGCCTAGCTATTGGCCATTTAGCTCTTTATTATACCAATCACAGAACACATCTTCACACAAATATCCCACAACACTTCCCTAAGGACTTGTGTCCTTCTGGCCCTAGCCACTCCCCAGCACGTGGTTTTCCTTTCTCTAGCTCCATTGCACTTTGCACCCTTATTCCTCACAGGAGCTAATTATCTTGTATTCTAATTTATAATTATCTAATGAAAATGTTCCTCCCAGTAGGCTTGACCTTAAGATTGCAGAATGGGCCCTACTACTTAGACTCTTATTCAAATGCTGGTGGATAACTTTATTATCTTAGACACATGATTTAATGCTATATACTTTTGGTTTTTATGACTGGCATAAGATTCCTTCCCTATTGCATTCGGTTGCTGTGGGCATGACGGCAATCCGCGTAAAGTATGAGACAAATAAAGAGACCGATAAAGAGAAAAACGTTAAACACTCGATAGCTAACCTGACCTATTTGCACCGTGTGCATTCTTTTACAAAGCCCCTACTGTTCCGTTGCTCCGGTAGCTCTCACCACTTGGCAGCGATGCACGTGGTCTGGGTCTGTGGGCCTTGTCCCAAGGCAGACTCCTGACTGGCTCCGCAAAAGAGAAAGCCCCGCCCACCAGCCTGCCAATCAGGTCTGCACTGAGCCCACTCGGTCCGGCGGCTTCCTGTTGGTAGGTTTACAAGGCGCGGGGGGCCAGGCTGCGCGTGCGCAGATTGAGGAGGCCGCTTTCCCGTTGGGCGGAAGAAGGTGACGTCAGGGGCGCGGAGAGGGTCCGCCCATAGCCCGGGGAACGTTGAATCTGTGGGCCCTCTGATGGCGTCACAAGTCCGCGCCTGAACCTGGCTCCGGCCG